ACGCTTGTTTCACACAACACAAACCGCGGAACGCGTACGGAAATTTAAATGCTACTGCATTCGCGTCGTCACAGGAAATTGCACAAACACAATTCACGAGTTCAAGGATTTCGCTGGATGAAATACCGAGGATGGGTGCACGTGACTTCTTCAGAGTTAAGGAATCGACGACCTTTGCCGTGTTGTTGCGAACGACCCTTAAAGCTGCGTTTCCTGCGTACGCAATTAATCCGCCGCTGTAACTGCGCAAAATCCCGTGCTTTTTTTGCAAATTCGCGTTCGTGCCTGCGCGTTTCCACAGCGATAGAGGCATCAAGTTAGCTTGCGCGCCAGTATCAGTCTTCAGGACGACGTTCTTGCCGGCATCCTTCGTCGGCTCCAGCCACGCTACTTGATTGCTTGCGCTGCGCATGCCCAGTTTTAGATTTTTAATGTCGATCCCAACTTCCGTGGCTTCTTCGTCAGTGACGTCGTTGGTGATGATCGCGTTCACTCGGCTTGGAATTACCCGCAAAGTGAACTTGGCGTTGACAGTTTCGGAATTCCTTTCCCACTGCTGGACAGCCCGCTCCTCGGTAAATGCCGATGCACTTTTCACAGTGGCTTCGTCTAGCTGTTACTTGTGCTGGCACCGTTGAACGCCTTTTTGTTGTCTGGTTGATACTGAGTACGAGTTCTTTAGGCTTGCCGGAAGCTTAGTTTTGCTTCGCTGATATTTCCTCAGCCTTGCATATTTCGACTGCTCTGACAAGGAACAAGCCTTGTTCTCGCAACAACCTTTGCCGTAGTTTTTTTTTTTTTTCTCGCGGTACAGTACATGAGCAGATCCCTGACCATTGAATCGGTCAAACTACTAAATTCACAGGTCTTGGGTATCAACAACAAGTCGCGGTAGAATAGATCAAGCTGCTCACATTCTGCTTGTACCCGCAATCTGAATAAGTAACGCTTGTGCAAGTTATTTGTCTTGGGAGAGCAGTAGCTTTGAAACTTTTCTACGACGACCGCGTGGGTCAGCTCTCCCTCGAGGTTGAAGGTGTCGTAGACTTCCACGGTCTGCCTGCCAGCGACATGCTGCAGCACTGCAATCTTCTGCTTCTCCTTCCTTTTAGTGGGACATTGCTTTGCAGCCATGAAGATATCCAGCGGTTGATTGAAACGTCGGCAATTTTCAGCAATGTTTCTTGTAAACTAGAGAGGGCCCCGGCACTTTCAGCCCCTTCGTGATTGAGGCAGCTAACGCACTTGTTAGGACGTTCAAACCACTGCTGACACCATGAATCAGTCCAGGACAGATCGGGCTCAGTAAGCAGGAACGAACTGCTTCGTCTTTATCCAAATCAAGTACGCGCGCGTGCATGCTGCATCACGCAAGTTTGCAAGCATCACAAATGTTACTGTCTCACATGATTTAAAAAACTCACTTCTACGTTTTCATTTCACGCATTCAGCGAAGGCTCTAAAATATAGCAAATTCACGTAAGAAAAGAAATGTGCGTTAACCTTTGAGTCGCGCGAAACAAAGTGTATCTATTAATTGCGTTTGTTCACACAACAGCTAGTTTTCCAGTTTTTATACGACCCCAAGTGGACATTCTTCACTTAACTGTTGTTCAAATAAGCTTGTCAAGCTACGTACTGTTTTTTCTTGCGCAAGACACTGTGGCGAGTTCTCGATTAACCTTGGAAATCTTGCAAATATTGCTTAATAATGTGCCATATAAGGATATATACTTCGGCTTTATCGTCATCCAGAGCGGCAACATCATTTTATAAATCTCTTATGGTTCTGTCGATTTCCAACGGCGTTGTTGGAATAAACATCATTGATTCTAGTTGATTTCTTCCGAGCACGCATTTCTCCATATCTGCATTTTCCCTTTATACGTTCCTATGTTAACGAAGTGTCGATTCATTTCATCTGCTACTTTGCCGGTGACGTGACATCATCTATCACGATTGGTTTCACACTAGAATGGACGTGATTTCGATTCGTTACGTTGTTAATCATGTCGCATACTTTCTAATGATCATTGTGAATATGCAGAAATTTATTTTGATGGTAATCACATTTAGCCGTTTTTAGGTCGGAGTTTAGTTTGATTCTTTATTTTTTTTTTTAAATTGGGCGAACATATCACAACACTGAATAAAATCATGATATTTTTTTTTATTTTTTTATGTTATCCTTTTATATAGGTCGCCCGTTATCCATGTTTTTTTCATATTTTTTATGTCCTGTTTTACTTCGCCGTAAAGGAAAAGCTGAATTATAGCAGCGTTTAAATTTAGCCAAGAAGCTTTTATGGGCATCTAAAGTGTTATCCTCTCCGAAAATGTCATTCCAATTTTCTTGCTTTATAAGGGTGCCAAAATGATTTAGGGTTTCTTCATTTATGGTGCGATGTCAAAAGATTTCTGTACAATTATTTCTTTCCTTAGCTAAGGACGATTCTAAGCAGAAGATAGCCGAATGGTCACTAATATCGTACAAAAGTGCACCTGCCGTAGTCTGACTGTTATCAATTTTTGTAATACAGACGTCAAGAGACGTTGCAGTGTCTGTGGTCACCCTCGTTTGTAGTGTTATTACATTGCTACAGGCGTGCTGGTGTGTGACATCGCGGATTTCTCTCGCATGTAGATCGTCACAAAATTGTATCTATATTTATATTTCCCAGAATAAAATATAAAGCTGTTACAGTTCCAAGATAACATAGTGCACTATCAAGAAAAGTCATAAATTCAAACATATTGCCGGAAGACGATCTGTACAAAACAGCCACTACTACGTTCGATATGTTTACAAATAGACTTTCAACATTTTCGTCTATTCTGATTAAATTATCAATTACTTGGTACTGGAAGTGGTCTTTAAAATAAAGTGCTATGCCGCCACCTCTCTTCTTTTCTCTGCTGAGACTTTCACACGAGTACCCCTAAAGTTGTGGTAGTATGTCTTCTTTCGTCAACCATGTTTCCGTGAGTGCTATAGCATCGAATTCCGAACTCCGAGAGTGTTATGAGACTTCAAAGCCCTCTACTTTATTCTTAACACTCCTCATGTTAAAATGTATAGTTGAGAACTGTCCCTTCCTGTTTTTATACTTGTTATTGAATGCTTGACAATCATAATAATAACAATCAAGTCGCATATCGTCGTCCATTTTCAGTTTTTATGCACTCCGAAAGTGCTATCATTTTTTTTCATTCGTTATTTTTTTCGACATGGGACATGTTAGTGATTTAGAGAATGTTCACGTGCTTGTCCTTTCGCGGAAAGATCTTCCCACCTGCAGATCAGACAAACTTCCATTCAACGCTTTTCTCTTTAGCAACCGCGGCGCCCAGTAACTTTTTTTTTGTTTTGAGATAGTTAGATGCTCATTTACATACACAGCGTTGCTGTTCCCGCCATAATCAAGTTCTTTTGTTCCTTTGCTTTTTGCATTTCTGCAGGATTGTGTCTCGTTTAGTACGTTGCACGAACCGAACGATTACGTTTTTCTCTCTAGGTCTTAAAGTGGGGACGCGGTGGCAGATGTCGATGTCCGAGTCAAGAATCGGCTCGTGAACAATGTTCCCAATTCGTTTAACGACATCGTACACGTCACCTGTTTCGGGCAGCCTCTTGATCTCAATGTCATTGCTCCTCTCATATTGCTCCAGTTCTTCGATTCTTTCGCTCAACCTGCGATTTTCGGAGGTAAGCTCTTCGTTCGTTTGTGTAAGTTCCTGTACTTATTTTCGTAGTTCCTTCATTTGGTTTTTGATTTCATTTACGCAGTCGCAAGTGTCATTGTAATACTTAACGCTATGTTTTATGGTCCTGAGCTCGGCCCTCAGCTCGCGTCTTAGATCTTCAAGGGCTCTCCCGATATCTATGCACTTTTTACTAATTTCGGCAGGAAAGAACTTCAACCGTCAGTACACTTCAATCAACGAATAATCGGCGCTGTTCCGGAAGCAGTGCGAGTTTTTCTAGGTTTTTACAGCAAAGTAATTAACTCTCAATTGTGGAAAACAGAGATTATTAGGCGATTTCTAATGTGCGCACTGCTGCCGAACTGAAGTTCTGTTGGGTGTGCTTGCTCCTAATGTAGTTGACAGTGGCGCCCTGGTCTCGCCGTATCTCGTCACCTGGTATTGCTTCTGGCGACCGTCGAAGGGGGCGATGTATCGCGCAGTGCGTCTGCGCGCTGCCAGTGACTGCTCGCACAGCTTTCCTATTCCTTAAAAAAAAAAAATAAACCGGCTGCTTTTAGCCCGTTAAAATGGTTCCTACGTGTAAAAACTATGTTTTTGCTTTATTGCCGCGTACCTTTACCCAGATTGCATGCAATCTGACTTTGTACAATCGTAGACTGTTTTGCAGGGTAGATGCCAATCGGGTAATATCTTTCGTTATGAAAATTTCAAATTTATAGCATATGCTAACGAGAACGCGTATTTGTAACTGGAGTGGTTGCAGGCCAGCAAAAGGAGGTGGATGATTATCGAGTTTTATCAATTTTCACGGAACTTCAAAATCTTAACACTTGTATTTTTATTATTATCGATACTCTAGTCGCTTTTGCGCATACTTTCATTGTCTTGGGAAATTAGGGGAGGCGTGTCTGGCATTATAATTTATTTAATCACTGTCAGTATGGCTGAATTGGCTGCAGGTGGAGAATCCACGTGAAGGGGTCGAGTTAAATTCCACTTGTATTATTTTAAAATAAATTTCTACCATACTCACCTATGCAAAATATGTGTATCTCAAGCCGAACTAACCTCATAAAGGAAATCGAGTAATTGAGAAAAATATCTCCTCATCACTACCCTTTGTAGGAGCCAATATGAATTGCTATTGTTGGAACTTTGCTTGAGTTAAAAGGTAGAACATCGCTCTTTCTATATTGTTAATAAACCACCCCAGGTTTCCTCCATCCCACCAATAAAGAGACGAATATTTGATTCAAAATTTATTTATTTATTTATTTATTTGTGTTTTATACGATACAGTTGGAGTCTAATGTAATATATAAAATTCTGCAGGACTCTTAATTGCAGTTCTGTTTTCGTGTTTGGGACAAAATTATCAATCCCCCTCAGGGTAAAGGTGATGCAGCTTTAATCTCCTCACTATTTGGATAGGGATAATCATTGAAGTCAGTGTAATCGGTAGATAGGCAGAGACCTACTTTTTTATCGCTTTCATGAAAGCATCTACAGGTTCCGTTTTTTCCAGTGCATGGTGTCCAGCTTCCATTCTCAAGTTGCGTGCACTGGAAATAAAAAGAATGAACACGTTTATTTATTTATTAAGAAACTGTTATATAAGGCGTTGTAAATAGAATGATGGTTTGTCTTTTCTGCATTTTCTTGGCACCTCTTAGTTTACATAGTGGTTAGTTACATAATGCGAAGTACAATCTCTTGCACATTTTTTCGCCCATTAACTGCTCGCTGCGCAAGTACCACAATTTATTTTAGTATCCCTGGGAAACCACTTTGCAATACTATGCTATAGAGAAACGTAAATGCTGCATTTATATTACAGGATTGTAAATTGTGCCTCATTTAATATTTTATAATAAGTACTTTGAAACTGGGGAAAATACGACTAGTGCTTATTACAACGAATAATATCTACAGCTGAATTATAAGTAACTTGTGCACATGATTAGTAGTGGAATACATACGAATTCTCTTGAGATGTTTTTAAACTTGTTCAAACCCAAATATAAATAAACTCACTAATTTTGTGACATTTCAAAAACTGAGTATAAGTTAAAAAGGCAAATACAGAAAAATTCACAGAACGGTCCCTCGCCTCTACCCATATGACTGATATTGAAATATTAAAAAAAAAAAACAGTGTCGCGTTGAAAATATAAATTTAATAATGAACATAAATGTATTTGTATGCATATGTTTCTAATTTTTCAAGAGGTAAAGATAAGGTTACGTGTTTAAGACTAAAGCAATTTTAAAAGGAAAATGCACAATTGTAGTTTTGTACACCCGATGTATTCTAGAACTAGAAATAATTAAGCGAAAAAAAATGAACAGAGCCAATCCAGATCAGTATCAGTGGTTGAGCAATTCCGAAGATAATCCACCCAGCAATACTTCCAATCCTCGGGCGACTAACAGACTTGGGCTCCATGTAAATGTATTTTATTTACACGACACACATATGGTACTTCTGTAAAAGAGCGGAATAAAGAACCGGAGCCCTATTTTGCAGTCTCTGAGTGCAAAATAGGACACCGATTCTTTGTTTAGTCTACAGATAATTTAGCCGGAGCCTCTGCAATAGGCAAACATAACCGGTCAAGCATCGGTGCTAAAGAGGGGCGACACGAAAACCTCATGCAACTCGGTCTTTTTGTTATTTGAAAAAAGCTTTTATGTTAATTGCAGTTGTGTTTAGTAGGCGCACCTTTAAGATGCACCAAAATACATCTATTAATCTAATTTAAAATTTTCTTACATTCGTGCCGCAATATTCAACAGTAAATAGTTCGTATTCCTTGCTTTCTTCGTCTCCATCTTTATCTTGTCCCGCAGAAATTAAATGGATGCTGGAAACGTATAATTCGGTTTATAAATACCTACTGAAACCTTCGAGGTTCAACTGATTTAATAATGTATTCGACAAGCATAGCAGGAAGCGATCTCACTAGCATTTTTCTTCTGGTGATACGATGCGCTAAAATTAAACTACTTACAAGATTCAATTGATCATATATAAACGATTTATGAAACATAATTCTAAGCAGGATTGTATTTACTGTTAGAAACGTATTTAAAATACACAGCTGAGCATATTACTAAATTTTGAAACATTAAACAACTCATCGCCTTTTTGTCAGTGTTATTGTTCAAGGCAATCTCTAAATGAACTTGCCGTCCTTGATATGACGCCACGCATTCCTGCTCCATCATCGTACTTCCATAATACCATTCCCCCAAAAAATATTGTCGTTTGCGTATAACATGCGAATATTAAGTCATATATGCTAGTTAAACTTGAGACAGTGCAAATGGTACAAGGACGGAACAAAGAAATTGACGGTACAAGCTCTGTACCGTCCACTTTTTTTTCCTTCCGTGCCGCATTCGAGCAGTTTCAAGATTAACCTATACCAACTAGCCCAGTTACCCTGTCTTATCTATACCACTTTAATAGGCCTAGTTTCTTTTAGATCTGGAATAGCACCGCCGGAAGTTATCAACGGAGAGATATCAGGATGTGCTACATTAAGCAAGTTTTTGTGCACGTACATTTATAATAATTCAATGCGTAGCTTTAATATTCATACTGAGTATTCCTAAACATAAGAATGATCCATCCCGCGTCATTTACAAAACTTCAATGCGTATTCACATACGCAGATTCTACTTAAACAAACATGTCAGTCGGGACCTGTATTTTACAAGTTTGGAGTTTTATGTGTTCTGATATTTACAGTTTTGTATGTCTTTTTTCATAGTACAGCATTGAAAAAAAAAAACAATATCCGACGATTGACTGTTAAAGAAACCCGATGTCGTTTAAAACACAAATCGGATCCGTTCCATGTCTAGAAAACCTTTGCTTGAGGCGCCTACATCACGAGGTGTACTACACACAGAAATAAGATTGATGTTTTATAAAATTCATAAGAGGTTGGATACGCTTTAATGTTGAATAAATTTATTGAATTTGGCGTTATACTCTCGTAATGATATTTTTTTCTTTCATAAGATTTAACATGAACGTCACTGCGCTAAAAGTGGAGGTCAACGAAGATTTTTGTATATTGACTTCTCAAGGAATATGATATGCTAAAAACGCCATAAAAGTACTCGTTTTCGAAAAAGAACAAAAAAAATATTCATTCGCATCTTTGTCAATATATATCGCTGCCTACGAGTCGATTCTTCTGACCCGTTGTTCATTTTATTTCGAATTACCCTACGTCGGCTAGAAGAAGAATGGATCTGCTGATCAACAGACCCACTCTCTCAGCTTTTAATTTTCCAAAAATATGTTGGCATTTGAAACAGACATATTTTATTCGGATTCCCAACATTCATCTCCGTAAGTGTTGACAAAGAAAATGCTATTTTATCATTAAACGGGAAAAAGTCACGGCGGCGCGTAATAATGAACCTGGTAATAAATAACAAACTGAACTTAGAATCCGAAATGCAATACGGCATTTTTAAATTATCGATCAGATATTCTTCCGAGTTCAATCTTGTTTTCAATTTATATCAAAAACATTTGAAAACGACAAAATATAAATATGCTCTCTTACCCAAAGGCAACAAGGACTGCGATTTGAAAAAAGGTAAATATTTTGACTTCCATTTCAAGAGCTTTGTCTGAGTTATGTTGGAGCATTCAAGAACCTCTGGGTTTTATATTAGCAAACCTGACACTCGTACATTTTTTTCTGTCTAAACCCACCTTCGTTTGACGTCATTCTTACATTACGGAAGCTCGCCCCCAAAAGCACATGTTTAAAGTAAACAGCTTTTTGTTTACCTTTCTTACCATGTGCGCGTTTTGCGGCGTAAGGCATGCGAGGTGTGACTGAATAAAAAAAAGGAATGACTTTTCTTACAGCATTTCACACAAGAGAAAGCGGAAATAAAATATTAATTTTCGTTCCAAATACGTTTCCACGGCTTAGATAATAATCTTTATTTCGTTTTGTCCACAAACAGCAAATAGCCTAAATAGTGGTACACGGTTCGTCATTAGAAATGAAATGCAGACAGCCACATATATTCAATGTTATGCACAAATGATCGACTCCAATGTACGTCGAAAAGATGTCACATCATTAAAATGTCTATAGCAGATTGGTCAAGTTTGTTCAATTCCAGCTACATTCTTGTTAAGGGAGACGTATCATATAAAGTCCGGGGGTAGAACGGACTCTAAAACCAACTAGACCGCAAGAGAACATGGAAACAAACACTACATAACAAAAGCGATAAATCAACACTTCCGTTCACAACCTTGTGGAAAAAGCATAAAATCGAGTAACCTTCTATTAAGCAAGGTGCGCAACCCTAGTTTCTTAAGTAGTACCTTATAATTGTAGTTGTAGTAACACTTGCACCCGAAATGCCTGTCATACATTATGCCTATGAAGCGTCTTATGAACACGCTCAATGAAGCCTGACGCAATGTGGTTGATACGATTCCAAACGATTGAAGCAAACTGCAGTTTTTTACGCACTAAGCAGCAAAACAAACGCACGAGACAATCAGGAGAACAAAACTGCCCCGCAAAGCGAGATATCACCCCAAGATTCCTAAGAGAGACATAACATTTAGCTAAAACATGATTATTAAAATTGAAAGATGAATTAACAAAAATTTCAAGATCTCGAATGACGGATACTCGGGAGATGACACTGCTGTCTATTGTGTAAGGAAACAAAAGTAAATGTCGCTTCTAGACAGGGGCAATATTTTTGTCTTCTGCTCATTGAGCAAGACATTGTTCCTAGAACACCACCTTGAAATTGCCAACTCGTAATCCTGAAGAAGATTGCACTCTGAGTACGAACAAACACAGCGAAACAGTTTGATGACGTCGGCCAAGAGTAATACTTTAGAGTTTTTCACGCTATAAGAAATGTCGTTCACAAAAATCAAGAACAAAAGTGGACCAAGGTTGCTTCCTTGGGACACTCCAAAAGGCGACAACAATTTATCAGGCATGAGCCCCGACAAACGAACATAATTTTGACGACATGAGAGTTAACGTTTAAACCAGTGGCAGTACGTTGGACACAAACCATAACTATCAAGTTTTGTATGAAGAATATTGTTATCAACCTTATCGAAGGCCTTTGTCATCTCAAAATATATTGCATCGACTTGTGCATGGTCACAAACAAATGTAACAGTGTAATCTAAAAAGACGCACAGATTACATTGAACCGACTTTCCCTTGCAACGTTCACACTAATAACCGTGAATTTTTAATTGTACCAATGTTGATTTGAGGCACAAATGTAGTGACAGACTCAGAGATGCAGAGACTGTGCGTTTATGTAATTTATCTCATGTGTGATTCTTGTACATATTCGAATGCAATCTATAGGAGCAATTGAGGGGAAATAAATAAGTATGCCCGCATTTGTAGTGACTCAAAAGTGCCGGCCTGTAAGTATTGTACAAGTCTCCCCAAAATTTGGTGTTGGCGTCACATTTTAGATATATTTGTGAAATATAAATATAAAGAGGTAGTTTTAAAAGGCTGTACTGCCTCCTTGCTAATCAAGAAGTTAAGTTTCGCAGACAAGTTTAATGGAAAATTGCATGTGAAGACGGACTCAATAGACTTCAGCGAAATACGGTTCCCGCAGGCATGCCCTCCATGTTGTAAAATTAGTTCTTTCTCGCGTTTTTTTAAATATCAGTCCACTCAATAAGAGCCTTTTGGAAGGACTGATTCCCTTTGTATCGTGTAGATGTTGAATCGTACGTTTTTTCAGATATTATAAGAATGTTTTTATATGCACCAGCAGTTATTATGACCTAGGTCAATTTGCATTGAAATAGCTTTAAATGGCTAAGACTGGCCTCTATTTTGAAGGTTAAATTGAGCTCCATATCAATATTTAAAGCAAAGTAAATACAAAACAAATGTGAATATTAGTTGTTCGTACCCAGGTAGCACGCTAGAGGAATGCCCAACTTGGGCAAAGTTCTGGCAAACATAAGGGCCAACTTTGGCGGAGTTAGGTTTTTGCACCATGGCGCTCATCAGTGCCAAAGTACGGGGCCTAACTATGGCCTTAGTTGGACGTTCCTAGGGCATGCCAAAGTTTGGCTCTTCTATCGTACGCCAGAAGAGTGCCAAAGATGGTCATAATGTAGAGAACCCGAGACTGTGGTAAAAGCAAGGAAACGGAGACGAAGAAGAAAGACAGAGGAAAAGAACGTTGAGACGTTCTTTTTTCCTGTCTTTCTTTTTCGACTCCGTTTCCTTGCTTTTGCCACAGTCTCGGGTTTTCTACATTATGATCACCATCCACCAGCTCGCCTGCGCACTCACAGTTTTTTCCAAAGTTGGTGCCCTACTTGAGCCATAACTGCCATAGTAAATCCTAATCTGGGAATTTGGGGCATGCCAAGGTTTGGCGTTTCTCTGGTCCGGCAGAGGAGCGCCAAAGTTGATGCCGTACTTCAGCCATAACTGCCAAAGCAACGCCTAATTTCGGTATTTGGGACGTACCAAAGTTTGGCTTTTCTCTGGTCCGCCACAGGAGTGTCGTAGTAGTGCCATACAAGAGCCATAACTGCCAGAGCGACGCCTAATTTGGCTATTTCAGACACGCCAAAGTTTGACGTTTCTCTGGTACGCCACAGGAGTGCCGAAGTAGTGCCACACTTGAGCCATAACTGCGAAAGCAACGCCTAATTTCGGTATTTCGGCCACGCCGGGTTTGGCTTTTCTCTGGTCCACCACAGTTGGGCCAAAGTAAGTGCCAGACTTGAGCCATAACTGCCAATGCAACGCCTAATTTGGGTATTTTTCACATGCCAAGTTTGACTTTTCTCTGGTGCGCAACAGTTCTGCCAAAGTAAGTGCCAGACTTGAGCCATAACTGCCGCAGTAAATCTTAATTTGGTGATTCGGGGCATGCCGAAGTTTGGCTCTTCTCTGGCTACCCACTGAAGTGCCAAATAAGTGCCAAAAGTGGCAAAGAAAGCCAAGAGGCCTGCCCAAGTTTCGAATATATCTGGTGTGTCACGGAAGCGCTCTTTCACGCGTCCCAGAAGAGAATTAAATTGAATAAGCGTTGGAAACATGATGGTAAGATGTCATCACCTCCGTTCTCAAGCAGCACGGCAATACTTTTCAGTATCGTGCCAGTGCCGGCCGAAAGTAGGTTTCAATATCACTCAAATGTCCAGGTTTGCACCACCGTTTGACATCTGGCAGGTATTGCCGCACAGTTGTTTTGCCCCGGCCTAGCGTTCGCGCAATATTGTGCGAATACTCTACGATGCATCTGCTCCGCATTGGCCGAACGTCGTGGAAGTATGTGTACGTTGCATATCATTTGTTGCATATCCAATCACATATACGGACAAACAAAATTTTTTTCGATCGCTTCCAGAAGTTTATTAAACCTCTATCAATACACACAGTGTATTCTCGACATATTTACAAAGGCCACACTTCTCTGTAAAACGAAAAGCAAATTATAAAATAGAATTAACACTGTCCTCATGCCAAGTAAGCCTCATTACACATAATACTGCGGAGATTGAGAGGAAACCAGGGCTACTATCAGAAGCCTGATTGCAGTCTACTCACTAATAAAAAAGCGATATCATGTAATCCTTGATAGATGCATAATCCAACTCAGGTACCCCACAAACACACTTGCGAAAGAAGGTTGCGCACATTCACCTGACGTCTCGTCGTCGGCGAAGAGCAGTTTTCTCGAAGCGTGTTCAACAAACACATCACAAGAATTCCACGAACTGCGTTGAAAAAAATGGCTTTTACCGAAAGTTGGCATGGACGTATTCCGACCGTTTACGACGAAAAAACACGGCCGCGTCTGTAACGCACGAAAGAAACAGAAGACTGAAGAGCGCAGTTCGAAAACAGGACCTACGTGGCCCGCTCATTTCTATAAGTAGGCAAACGGCGTAAACAACAGCCCCTGAGATCCCATCAGCGTGACAGAGAAAGTCACGTGACAAATATTCGTCCCAACGTTTTTGTCCTTCGCGTCCTACGTAGGGAGGTCACGGCGGGTCACGCGTTTCGCTTCACTATTCTGATTAGCTTAAAGCGGCTGTCAAACTCGCTGACAGCCACACGAAGACATAAAAGCAGGGGGAAGGGATTTGCAAGAGGCTAGGTCGAAGGGGCATCAACAACGCATAAAAGGAAATGCCGCTTCTGCCGGTGACCTTGTCGCCTTGCATAGTCTGTCAGTGTTCGGATTCCATTGTGGGCCTCAGAAAGATAATCTCCTTTCTAGAGAGCGAAATGGAAGAGATACTTATGTTTTGCGGGCTTGTCGCCATCCGATAGGCCTCAATTATTTCTCTCCCGACTCGCTCGCAGTGGCCTCCCATGGCTGTCGTGCCGGCGAAATTTGGAGCGCAGCCGGGACATTTTCTCCCGTGAATGACGATCGGGTGCTTAGAATCTGAAGCAACTCTTTCGGCGTGCATCTGATATTCTCGGACCGTCGGAGTCGGTCGTTGAGGCATCGCCCCGTTTGCCCAATGTACCTGGCCCCGCAGGGCAGGGGTATCGCGTACACTTCCTCCGCTTCCTCTTCTTCCCTCAAGATTTCCCTTTCCGTCACTCCCACGGAGCGGGCGGGCTTT